TAATATAAAGTTCTAGCTTTACGGAGCGCTTTTTTATATGTTAGCAGACTATCTTTCCAAGTTAAATAAAATTCTTCAACATTAGTAGAGCGCCATTTTCTCTCCTGGTTTCTAGATGCTGCTTTAAAGTACGTAACTCAGATTTGAACCAAGGAGCCAGTTTCCTCTGATTGATTACTTTCTTTTTCAGTGGAGCAACTTTATCAAGTGAAGTTTGCATTGAAGTTGTAAGATGATCAACTAGATGATCTAAGTCTCTGTTCTCTGATGCATTACTCTGCCAGACAGAGGAAAACATTGATGGAAGAGATTGTTTAAATTTGGTTACAGCATTTTCTGATAAGCACCTGCTGAGATGAAATTTACTCTCAGTGACTGTGGAGTCATTTAATGTAAACTCAAGGTTATTAAAAAATGGTCGGACAGAACAGGATTTTGAGGAACTATTACCAAGTCCTTAATCTCTACACCATAGGTCAGAACTAAATCAAGAGTGTGATGATAAGAATGAGTAGATGTGCGGACGTTTTGGGTAAAACCAAAGGACTCTATTAAATTATTAAAGGCTATGATTAAACTATCACTCTCATTATCTACATGAATATTGAAATCACCCATTATGATGATTTTATCAGTATTTTTGTATTGATATATTTTTGAATTATTTGTCTGTGGTGGACTTGTGGCCTGTCTATGGTGTCCCCCGCCTCTCACAGAGTGACAGCTGGACATAGGAACCAGTGACACCCATGACCCGAAAAAGAAGAAGTGGGTAAAGAGGATGAATGGATGGATGATTTGTTCTTAGATTTTTTTTTAATCCAGGCAGCTAAGCTAACTTAGTACTGATATTTTAAATTACAGAATTTAATGCACTCCTATATTTGTTCCTGATTTTGGTATAGATATAAAATGATTCAAAAAGATTTAATACATTAAAGAACCTAAAATTATTGTTTCTGAGTATACATATGAGATGGAATATCATACTCCATATGTATCCTGGTGTTGGTACAGTTTTCTGAGCTCCAAGGTCAACGCAGCTGTCTACCAGGAAGTTTTAGAGATTTCATGCTTCCTGCTGCTGACCAACTTTATGGAGATGCAGATTTCATTTCCCAACAGGACTTGGCACCTGCACACAGTGCCAAAGCTAACAGTACCTGGTTTAAGGACCATAATATCCCTGTTCTTAACTGGCCAGTAAACTCACCTGGTATTGTGAAGACGAAGATGCGATATGCCAGAGCCAACAATTGAGAAGAGCTGAAGGCCGCTATCAGAGGAACCTGGACTCTCAGAACACTTGAGCAGAGACACACACTGATCCACTCCATGCCACGACGCATTGCTGCAGTAATTCGGATAAAAGGAGCAACGATTAAGTATTGATGCTGAACAAGCTCATGCTTTTCATGTTCATACTTTTCAGTTGGCCAACATTTCTAAAAAAAATTTTTTATTGGTCTTAATATTCTAATTTTCTGAGATACTGAATTTGGGGTTTTCATTAGTTGTCAGTTATAATCATCAACATTAAAATAAATAAACATTTGAAATATATCGGTCTGTGTGTAATGAATGAATATAATATACAAGTTTCACTTTTTGAATGGAATTACTGAAATAAATCAACTTTTTCATCATATTCTAATTTTATGAGCAGCACCTGTTTGTCTGTATGAAGAGGGTAGGCCCTGGGGTGAAGGTCTGAAACAAATTCAGACCGGAGGAAGAAGGCAAGCCTTAAACTTGAAGAGCGCACAGAACAGATTGTCATTTGCGAGGAGCACAAGAAAAACAAAGTTTATTCACAAATACCAAAGTTCATACTTAATAATTCACGTAAAAATCCAACAATGTTCAGTCAGGTCATCTGGATGGTTTCTTTTTTTTTCCCCTGAAACTTTTAATTCACAAACTCTCAGTTTACAGTAGAGCTCTGGCCTCTCACTGAACACCATACATTGATGATGTCTCTGTGTTGTCCTCTGGCCATCTTTGTCCTTAAATGCAGGAAGGTGGCTTGCTAGAGGAATGAGCAACGACTGAGGAAACAAGAACTCCTCTCTGCCACTCAGGAGCTTCAAAAAGGTGATATGAATACAAACAAAACAGGAATCTCTCCAAGAACATGACCTTCTGATACTCAGTGGTTAAACTAACAATACTGGTGATCTTACTCTTTGACTGCTCTCATCAGCTGTCACCACAGCAGATCATCTGCCTCCAAGTCCAGTTTCCACCGGCACCCCACTGGAAACCAACACTGGAGGCGGTTGGTGTTAACTCAGGCCTCGACCCATCAGGTCGGGCTGTCATACGATCGACACTGTTAATAAATGTGGTTAACAAAGTCGTAATGAGAAGACCAAGTGCACCTACAACTATCCTTTTATGTCCTCTCTGCTATTAACAGTTTTCTGGAGATTATCTCCAGACCTCCTGCAGTTTGCATGAAGTGATTTCATTTACTGCAACGTGTACTTGTTGAAAATACCCCCTCCTGTATGAGCAGGTGGCTGCTTTCTCCGCTTTGTTCCAGAAGCAGAACTTTTACATGACTGCAGGTCTTTGTTTATAGGTGATTAGAAAACAGCTAGGTGTTTCAGGTCACCTGGTTTCCTCTCAGACAGCTTCAGTCAGCTGACCTCAGGTCTTTCCTTCTCTGATCCTTTCAGTTTTGTCTGGGTCAACCCCCCTCCATCAGCCTGGGATTCCTCCCTGGACCAAGTCCATCAGAACCATCAGATATCCTGAAATAGATGTGAATCCAGGAGTGGGCTGACTCTACTAACCTGCTGTCCTCTGAGTCACAGCCAAGACTGTCTGCAAATTAGATAACTTAGCCCAGCCGGGCTTGGGTCAGTGAAAGAGTCTAAATCCCCCCACCACCCCTACAGTTCCCTTCTACCCGCTTCACATCACCAAGATTAACCCCCACGCCACAACGGGCAGCAAAGCTCCCTCCTGGAAATGCAGGCGAACCATATGGCAGCCAATTTACCATTTCACCATACAAGTTTGGATGGGCGGGGTGGGTGTGTTCCATATATATATAAATACATTTAGAAATGTTTCGAACGGAAATCTATGGCGTCAGAAATAACATCCCATAATACAGATGTTTTATTGTTCAAGTCAAATGAAAAATTGTGCATTAAATCAACACGATCCATAATCAATTAGAATATTAGCGTAAGAAACTTTTTCAGAGATTCACAAAAAGTTAAGTGAGGTCATCTGGGTTTTCAGAGTTCCTGTAAGAATGTTGCATCATCAGGGCACCTGCAGCATCATGCTTCGTTTCTGTCATGATCCACTTCCTCCCTCGTCTGTCCATCCATCTATCCATCCACCCACCCATACGTTCATCCATCTATCCATCCACCCACCCATACGTTCATCCATCTGTCCATCCATACACCCATACATTGTTCATCAATCCGTCAGTCAATCTGTCCATCCACCCATCAATTTGTTCATCCATCCATCCATCCATCCATCTGTGTCCCTCCATACTCCCATCCATCTGTCTGGCCATCCATCCATCTGTTCAGCCCTACACCCATCCATCCATCCATCCATCCATCCATCCATCCATCCATCCATACACCCACCCACCCACCCACCCATCTTCCATCCACCCACCCACCCATCTATCATCCATCCATCTGTCTGTCCATCCATACATACATCATCCATCCATTCATCTAATACATGCAGCCATAAATACATACATGCATACATACACCCATCCACCCATCCATCTATCATCCATCCAGCTGTCCATCTGTCTGTCAATCCATCCATCCTTCCATCCATCCATCTGTTCATCCCTACACCCATCCATCCATACATACATACATACATAGATCCATCCATCCATCCATATGTTTTCTTTGTGCAGGGTGGTATCTTAATGCTGCTTTATTGGTTTTAGGGAGCTGTATTCTGAGGCCTCCTCCTCTGTTAAAACTTGTTTTATTCCATTTTGGTGTAAATGGCTTCCTTCACACCCTTCCACACTACACCATCTATAGGAACATGTGTTCACAACACAGCCTTTTAATTTATTTTGCAATTTATACATAAAACTGTTTATTTCTGTCAGCTTCGATGATAACAAAAGAAGTCCTGATTTTTTGCTGCACTTTAGAAAAGGATGTTGGTGGATGTTTAAGCTGCTTTCATTATTCTTGAAAGAGGGTTTTGGTCTTTCTGCACAGTTTGGAGTTAAAGTTAGAAGTGATTGTGGAATTAAGGAATAAACTGAAAACAAGTGCTACAATAAATGATTCAGACCAAGTTATACATGTGCTGGTTCTTTCAATTGACCTGAACTTTGGGTCAGACGTCTGAGAGGAAAGCAAACGCTCACCTGCCAACAGGGACGACCTACATCCTGCTCTCACTTCCTGTCAGGGTGAAGACATGATCTCCAGACTGAAATAAAACTGTGAACAGGCTGTGTGCGTGTGTGTGCGCGTGTGTGTGTGTGTTTGTGTGTGTATGTGTGTGTGTGTGTGTGTGTGTATGTGTGTGTGTGTGAGAGAGAGAGAGAGATGTAGGTCAGGCCAATACACTGGCAGCAGATTGCTCATTAAGTGCCAAACCAAGCAAAAGTCTGCAAGTGTGTTTTTCAGTGGCATCAGGCCGACCATCTGCTCCTCCTTTATTCATTCATTAAGACCTCTTCTGTTTTGGTGCACATGTGCGTGTGTACGTGGAAGCATTCATCAACAAATACTTGCTAACCAGCTCCACCACGTCACACTTGTTGTTGTCCAAAGGCAGCACTCCTGTGTCAGACGGCTGGATCATGTGACCACTCTGGCTGGTGATTGGCTGGTCAGTGCAGCTAAAAAGACCCGGTACAAGTCTGAGTTATTAGTTAGTGGTGAAGGTGACTGAGTGACCAGAGTGAGTGGACACATCTGACAGGTTGAAGAACAAAGCATAAACCAACAAAGAGATCAGAGGAGAAGCCAATCAGGAGATGGCATGACCAAAGATATGAGGCTCTAGCTGCAGAGAGAATGTATGAAAGTAAGTCCTGATGTTTAAAGTTTCAGCTCGGTTCTGGAGGGTTCAGGAAAACACTGAATGGGGACGGCATAGATGAAATTTGGTTAACGATGAAGAAAGCAGCTCTTTGAGCAAATGGAGTAGCCTCGGCTCATTGGGGTCTTTACTGTTGCACTTTGTTGAGGGTTTGACTTCCTCTTGTCCTGTTCTTCTGTTCCAGGTCCTGAGATTTAAGCAGTGAATCTAACAGGAACCAATTTCAACTAAACCAAAGTCTGGTCAAACCAAAGTAGCAGAAACCAAACTCAAGGGTCCTAACACTTCTGTTCTTCAGAGTCCAGCTACACATTTGATAATGAAGCTGGAGAGCACACCATCAGACCTGAGCACTTGGAGAGAGGTGGACTTTGCTGTCAACTGTACTTACATTGTTCCAGACCAAGTGTCAGACCCAATCTTCAGCCTGCCCAAAGCTATGACCTCCATCCCACGGAACCTCACATTTGACTACAACATGGACAACGAGGTAATGTTATTTAATTGTTTCATAAGTGTAATGATAACTTGCAGCCATGAGCTCCCAGAACATTACTTATGTTGTTCAACATTTTATCAAATGTCCTAGTGAGGACAAAAGTTGTGCTGGATAATGAAGTTCTCACAAGTTCCTGAACATGTATTTGTATGTAACTTCAGGTCCCTCACAGCTTCTGGTTAGGGAGATATTTGGTGTGAGGAGGTTTTGGGGTTAGGGAGGTTTTTTTTTTGTTAGGGAGGTCTTCATATGAGGAGGTCATTGGGTTAGGGAGGTCATCAGGGTTAGAGAGGTCTTCGGCATGAGGAGGTTTTTGGGTTAGGGAGGTCTTTGGGGTGAGGAGGTCTGAGTTAGGGAGGTCTTCAGGGTGAGGAGGTTTTTGGGTTAGGGAGGACCTTGGGTGAGAAGGTCATTGAGTTAGGGAGGTCTTCAGGGTGAGGAGGTTTTAAGGGTGAGGATATTTTTGGGTTAAGGAGGACTTCAGGGTGATGAGGTTTTAGACTTAGAGATATTTGGGTTAGGGAGGAATTTGCGTTAGGGAGGTCTTTGAGTTAGGGAAGTCTTTGGGGTGAGGAGGTTTTTGAGTTAGGGAGGTCTTTGAGGTGAGGAGGTCTTTGGTTTAGGTAGGTCTTTGGGGTGAGGAGGTCTTTGGGTTAGGGAGGAATTAGGGGTGAGGAGGTCTTTAGGCTACGGAGTTCCTTGGGGTGAGAGGGTCTTCAGGGTGAAGAGGTCTTGGTGTTAGGTAGGTTTTTGGGATTAGGGGGTCTTTGGGATAGAGAGGTCTTTGGGGTAAGGAGGTCTTTGGATTAGGGAGGTCTTTGGGATGAAGAGGTCTTTTGGTTAGGGAGGACTTTGGGGTGAGGAGATCTTTGAGTTAGGGAGGTCTTCAGATTGAGGAGGTCTTTGGGTTAGGGAGGAATTAGGGGTGAGGAGGTATTTGAGTTAGGGAGATCCTCGGGGTGAGAGGGTCTTCGGGGTGAAGAGGTCTTGGGGTTAGGTAGGTCTTCGGGTGGAGGAGGTCTTTGGGACAGGGATATCTTTGGGGGTGAGGTCTTTGGGGTGAGAAGGTCTTTGAATTAGGGAGGTCTTAGGGTTAGGGAGGTTTTCAGGATGATTTAATTTTTGGGTTAGGGAGGTCATTGGGGTGATGAGGGCTGAGTTAGGGAGGTCTTCGGATTAAGGAGGCCTTTGAGTAAGGGGGCTCTTCGTGGTGACGAGGTCTTTGGTACAGGGATTTCTTTGGGACAGGGAGGTCTTTGGGGTGAGGAGGTCTTTTGGTTAGGGAGGACTTTGGGGTGAGGAGGTTTTTGAGTTAGGGAGGTCTTCTGGGTGAGAAGGTCTTTGATGAGGAGGTCTTTGAATTAGGGAGGTCTTTGGG